CACGCCCCCTACTGGGGATCGAGCTCACAACCCAAGCACGTGTTTTGACTGGGAACCAAATCAGAAAACACTCTCCTGGCCCTTGCGGTGCTGAGTTTAGTCACACTTCATATGATGAAAACCAAAACAGACATTGCAGCTTAGGTATATCTATACTTCAAAAATAAAGAGCCCCATGATACCGTGAATGTAAAATGCATACAATAATATAGCATTTTATGTTTTATTGTATTCATTAATTACTTATCCATTCTTCTATATGTATGTATGGTCTGAAAAGGTAGTTGCCAAAATGTTATCTTTAGTCGGTGGTGCCATGTGTGTTTTTACTCTGTGATTTCCATATTGCTACAATAATTCTAATAAGTATCACATATGTCTCCAATATATTAATTATAAAAAACTCAAACACAGAAAAGTTGAAAGAGATGTACAATAAACTCATATACACTGACAACCTAGACTCAAAAATTAACATTTTATAATTATGTTTGCTTAATCATATATCTCTACATCCCTCTCCCCCCTAATCACTGATTGACCCCAGCCTTCTGGCCAGCTTCCCCCTGCTGAAGGTGACTCTTTCAGGGCCCTCGGGTGGGGAGGCCCCCATCTCCCATCTTGGAATCTAATATCTGGACGCTCGCACTGGTGATGTTATGATCCCATCACTGTTCAGGTCCTGCTGCCCCCGGGTCTCCAAAATTTGCTCATAGGCCCTNAGGTCTCCAAAATTTGCTCATAGACCTTGGTCAGAGGCAGAAACAATCTTGTTTTGTTTTATTTTTAAATATATTTTATTGATTTCAGAGAAAGGAAGGGAGAGAGAGCTAGAAACATCAATGGTGAGAGAGAGTCACTGATCAGCTGCCTCCCCCACGCCCCTCACTGGGGATGGAGCCCACACCCGGGCATGTGCCCTGACCGGAAATGGAACAGGGATCTCCTGGATCAAAGGTTGATGCTCAACCACTGAGCCATGCTGGCCGAGCAGGAAAGAATCTGGTTTTGTCAAGGAAACTGGAGGCGGCTGCTCCCCCAAGGAGAGCAGCTCATCTTGCACAGTGAGGGGGACCCGGGTCTTGGCATCTCTGGCTCAGCCCCTGTGCCATTCAGTGTCTGTCCTGATTTCTGTCCTGGGATCCCCTTGCTCGCGCGTGTCCCTGTGTCTGGTTCCTGATCTGGGTGAGCGGTTTCCTCCCTCTGATTCCGGCCCTCAGCCCTGCTCCTCTCAGACAGTGTTTCTCCCTCACAGCCCCTCTCGTCTCTCTGAGGGCACATTGGTCCTGGCTGTCCCCAGGCTCCCCCTGTGCTCTCTGCTCTCAGCTCCAGCCGGGTCCCTTACCCCATTTCCCACGGGGAGCCTCTGCCTGCGCTGCCCTGACAGGCGCAGGAGTCGCCTTGTCTGCAGGGCGCTGCCTGTGGGGGTTTGCGGGGGGCAGGAGGCAGGGCGGGCTGAGCTGGGCAGGGGCTCCCCCGCCTCTGGGGGGTGCTGCTGAGCTGGGCTCTGTCCCCTTATCTTCCTGTCCCGCTAGACACCTGTTTCCCAGCCTGGTGCTGGGGCTGATGGAGGGGCCCCCACTGCTCCTGGTCTGGGAGGGCCTCAGGCTCGCTGGCCCGTGGGGTGAAGGGGGGTGTTTGTCTTCACCCTGAGGCTCTGCTCTGTGCCTCGCAGGCCCTGAAGACCAGGCTCAGCAACCTTCCGACCGTGAAGAAGTTTCTGCAGCCCGGCAGTCAGAGGAAGCCTCCCATAGATGCGAAAAAGTTAGAAGAAGCCAGGAAGATTTTCAAGTTTTAAACGAAGCAGGCATGGCCGCCCAGCACGTGCAGGACCAAGCTCCTGCAGTTTTCCAACAATGAAATGCTTCACCTAAATTTAGACCTTGGCTCTTGTGAGAATAATAAGCTTTTCTCAATTAATTAAATAATAAACTCCCATGAGCAGATTTAATTATAATTTACCCTTGTTCCTTAAGATCCAATACAAAATCAGATTTTCAATCTCCTTTTATTGTGTCTCTCTTGGAATTAAAAATTAAATAAAATTAAATAGATTATGAGGTCTCTTTCTTTTTTCCAGGAATTGTCATATGTCTGTCACAGAGCTCATCAAAGAGTCAAGTGTAGAATTCATGCCTGACATTCTCAGGTGTTCACAGGAAAATTTCTACCTTTCTCGGTAAGGACATAGAGAATTTTTTTTGTTTGTTTTCTTCAGGAGCCCTTTGCCTTCTGATAATAGAAATGTTTTTTGTTATGAGTTTTGCTCCTGTGCAATGCAATGGCTACATGCCTACTATGGACTCTTTACCATTCTAGGAGTTGGGGAAATAATGAACCAGGGAACAGACCTGCTCTCCCCTGACTGTTCTCCCTCACGGTCTGTGACCACCTGCACAGCATCGCTCTGCTGCTTAATGCTCTGTGGGGCCCTGGCTGAGCTTTCCCTTGGTTCATTCAGTGGTGCTCAGACCTGGACTTCCAAGACAGAGCTTACATGGATAAATTATATGTAAGTGAGTATATATAAAATCATTTTTCTCTGCCTGTCACTGGGCCAGGGTGGCTGTATTAGGAGTGATTTCTAGCTTCAGCCACACTCGGGGCTCAAAACGAACACCCTCCCTGAAAACCTGGGCTTTGGCATATGGAGTTCTTGGGCCCTAGAGTGAGCTTCCCCATAGTGGGGGGAGGGAGCTGAGGGACACACAGGGCTCCCCGACTGTAGCTTCACTCCCATCTAGGCTGCTGTCTACATGCAACCAGAATGCTTCCCCTAAAATGCACATTTGAGTATCACGACTTTCTTTAAGTCCTTCGGTGACTCCCATGCCTGTGAGGATGCCTCCTCACACCCCTCCTTTCCACCTGGCCATGCTGAACGCCTCACCTCAGTTGCTTCCCGGGGAGAGTTGGGCTCTCGTCTGTGCCTCCCACAGAGCCCTGTGACCCCCTAACAAAGCCGAATGCCACTGTGCCTCCTCCACTCTGCTGTGAGGACCTGGTGAGCGGGCATGGCCCGGCCGTGTCCCCACTGCTCCATCACAAATGGTGGTAACACCTTGCGCAACGCCACGCACACCGTGAGGACCTGAGGCTTTGAGTGGGGGCTTTGGGAATTCCTCAGGATTCCACACTCTCACCTGCCTGACCTGTATATTCACTCACCCATGTCTTCATGGATTTATTCATATCGTTCAAGTGCAATATATGGACCTGGCGTGGATTTTGATGCAAATGAGCCCACTGTAAAGAAACCTTCATGAGACAGCGGGCGAAAGTAGAATGCTGAATAGTTAATGAAATTAAGGCGTTATAATTTTTAGTGTGATTATGCTTAGAAAGAGTTCTTTCCTTTTAGAGGTTAGCATACTTAATTTTTGATAGATGAAGTGATAGGCTGTAGAGGATTTGCTTCAAAATAATCCCATAGCCCAGCCGGGCCTGGCTCAGGAGATCGAACTTCAATTCCCGGTCAGGGCACAAACTCGGGTTGCGGGCTCTATCCCTAGCAGGGGGCGTGCAGGAGGCGGCCTATCAGTGACTCTGTCATCGTTGATGTTTCTATCTCTCTCTCTCCCTCTCCCTTTCTCTTTCTGAAATCAATAAAGATATATTTTTTTAAAAATCCAATAGTTGTGGGAGAAGTAGGTTCCCATATATTAGTTTCTTGTGGTCGCTGTAACAAATTACTAAACCTGGGTAGCTTGAAACAACAGAATGTATACTCTCACGCTCTTGGAGGCCAGAAGTTCAAAGTCAAAGTGTTGGCTGGGCTGCACTTCCTCCCGAGGCTTTAGAAAAGAACCCTTTCCTGACTCTCCTCAGCCTCCGGTGGCTTTTTGCTTTCCTTGGTTCATGGCTACATCACTCCAATCTCTGCCTCCATCTTCACCTCACCTCACCCTCTATGTGTCTGTGTCTTCTCTTCTGTTGTAAAGACACTTGTCATTGGATTTGGGGCCCACCTGGAAAACCCAGGATGTCATCTCAAGTTCCCTTAATTACATCTGCGCAGACTCTTTTTCTAAGTACAGCACATTTACAAGTTCCAGGTATTTGGATACAGATCTATCATTTTAGGAGGTCACCCACAATGGGGTGTAGATAAAAAATATTGTTGGCAACTGCTGAAGCAGGGGCACAGGTATATTGGGCTTTCTCTACTTTCTACCATTCTCTCTATGGTTGTATTTGCTGGAGACTTTCCATTTAATAATTTTTTTAAAAAACTATGTTATTTATTGAGCTCCTATTATATGCCAGGTATTGTGTCAGACAATGGGGACATGACTGGAAACAAGATAAAAGCCCTACTTCCAAGACTTCAGATTATGAGGAAAACTGGCATTAAACATATAATGTCAAAAATGACTCAAAGTAGAGTATTCCAAACAAAAAAACCAGCACGTGCAAAGACCCAGAGGCTAGCAAGGCTGATATGAGTGTGGCATAGAGGAAGTTGCCAGGCTGAGCAGAGAAAATACAGGATGCCCAGTTTAATGTGAATTTCAGATAAACAATAAATAAATAATTTTTTAGTATAAGTCTGTCCCTTGTCTGAAATTCACATGTAATTGGGTGTCCTGTATTTTATCTGCAATCCAATATAAAAAATATTCCACAGTCAGCTTGTCCTTTACTGACCTCAGCTCCCTGCTCTGCTCACAGTAGAGGTTTATCATCTGCCTTGGTGCTTGCATCCAATGCATGGAAACCTCCCAGCCAAGTTTCTTCAAAAAGCCAGTCCCTGCTGACTGGCAGAGAGAGTCCAACGATCTGAAATGTTTTGTTTAATCTTTTATTTGCTGACCTTGAGAAGGAACATATTAACCAATTGTTTCTCCATACCAGGATGACTTGTCATTTTTCTTCTAATTTGGCATTGGACACGTGGACCCCGAGCACTGTGGGAGTGGCTCTCCCTGTCTGGAAGCTCCCCTGTCAGAGGGGAGGAGTTACGCAACTGTAAAAACCGCTGCTAAACACACGAGGAGTGGCACTGGGTGGCTGAGACAAGTGGGAGAGAAACTTTAATAAGGTAAGTACTGATTTTATAAACCTTTAAACACAGCATCACATCTTACGTTTAAGTCACCAAAAAATATATATATTTTCAATGTGTGCCCTTAGCACAAGAAAATGTCTGTTTTACACTCACATTGTGCTCTTTTGTTGTGCTAAGGGACAGTTCAAGAGCTCTTCATTCAATTGCTGTTGGATGCATCTTTATGAAAATGTAAAGATGAAGAATTTAGAAAACTAGGGTATGAGCACTGTGATGTGAGGAAGATTAATAATATGAGAAGGAAAAAATGATACAATTTTAGGCAATCTGAGAATATGACCAGTGCAAGAGAGAGTGTAGGTGTTTATACTGAAGTTACTTTCTCTGTTGAAGTAGTCAACACACAACCATTGTGAATGGTAATCCTATAGAGGCTATGAAAATTCAAAATTAAAATTTATTATGATAGGATGAAATTAGTCCAAATGTCAGCGGAACTAGATTGTATTCAGCCTCTGCTGTGATTAACTAACTAAGAAGTCCCGCTCTCTCTCTCTGGGGTTCATCGCCAGGCTAGCAAGTGGCTAGAGCAGATTTCCCAACCATAGCACTATTGGCATGTTGGGCTGGGTCATTTGTTGTTGTGGGGAACTGTCCTGTCCATTGGCCTTTTTTGATTGCTTGTTTGTTAAAAAACATTTGTTATAGAAATGTGCATTTAATTAGTTTTAAGGAATGTACTTAATAGTGTTAACATATATTTTCTCAAATTTTCAAGCTTTACACCTTTAAGATAGCGACAATGATCATTTGTTTACAAGTTTTACAAGAAATCATCGCTTCATCAATTCATTTGACACCATTAAGATTCATATTCTCATTTTTTCTCTTCATTTCACTCGGAGCTTGTAGGAAGAACACAGAGTGGAGTAGAGTTCAATCCTGGTGCTATTTATAGTCTGCACAGTTGAATGAGAGGGGCAGATGGATAGAGAATTACTGTATTTTCCAAAACAACTTTATCCTAGAAAGATTACATAGATTTAATAGCCAACCGCAATCAACCATAAGGTATTTCCAACTAAACACCAAAAAATGTGTCCGTTAGGGTAATGTGGTTGATGCCGAAAGCTAGGTAACATGCAGGATGACTGAGGGTGAATAAAATTATATTTGTACTGGAGTTCTGAGCCAAGAGATAGATGATAGATGATAGATAGATGGAGATGATAGACAGAAAGATGGATAGATTGACAGATAGAGGGAGGAAGACATGTGCTACCCAATGTGTCCAGAGACTTGCCCATCTCCCAGGGACTGGGAACAGGACAGGACTTGCATTTGTTGATTGCGATTATGACTTTTATGTACGTTATCACATTTAACTTCCTCAATAACCCTCAAAAGTACATGTATGCCTATCTCTATTGCTAGAAGAGAGAATTGGGGTGCAATTATTAAACAACCTGACCACATTTATGAACCTCATAAAAGAAGGAGTTGAGCTCTGTCTCCAAGGCTGCCATCTCTCTGCTAAGAAATGCTGTGATGAGGACCATCCCCAGGGACTTAGCTCCTTCAGTTTACTATGGAACTATCATAGGACTCCTTGCAAGGAAGACAAGCCTACTTCCTTATTAAGGTGAAATATATAGGGTGTCCCAGAAAATGTACACACACATCTTGAACAATTATAACGGCAGTGTTTATTAAAATACATTTCATTTTCAAAATTGAGCTAGCCCGGCCGGGCGTGGCTCAGCAGTTCAGCATTGACCTAAGATCCAGGTGATCAGGGTTCAATTCCTGGTCAGGGCAAATGCCCGGGTTGTGGGCTCGATCAATGACTCTCTCATCATTGATGTTTCTATCTCTCTCTCTCCCTCTCCTTTCCTCTCTCTGAAATCAATAAAGATATTTAAAAAAATAAAAAATAAAATAAAATAAAATTGAGCTATCAGCTGTTAATGTGTGCATACATTTTTTTTGAGGGGGACACCCTGTAGTTATGCTAGTGCTCAATTTACTCACAGTTTTCTAGGATATCAATAATAAGGCATGCACTTATTAATATTTCTTCTTGTCAAACCACTGAAAATCAGTTCCACAGAAAGGAACTTGTGAGTTCAAAATTTTTCTCTCTCCTTGCTCTTTAACCATTAGTTGGCTGATGGATTCTGAATGGGGAAAGTGAACAGTGGTCTCGGAGAGGAGCACGCAGTGTTAAGCGGCTGAGTGAAAAAGCCCAGACCTGACATCAGGAGATGAGTTCAAACTAACTTAACGCTCACAAAACATAAGCACGTAGGAGAGGTGCCTTATCTCTTTAAACTTCAGCTCTCTCATCTTTAAAATAGGATTGTAGAAGCTATTTCCTAGGGTTGCTGTAGAGGGTAGGCACGCTTGGGAGATGTTGTGACACAGGAACACATGCGTGTGACCTCTGGCAAATTGTCCAACCTCCGGAGTTTTCATTTTCTGTTGACCAGGCAAAGTTTCATAACTTTTGGCCCAGTCTTATCAGGACATTGGAGACCTCCTATTTGGAAGGTGAAGAAAGTTGCTTAAGGAGGAGATTTATGATAAAATATTACATAAGATAAAAATTCTTTCCCTTTGTAACTTGATCCTCTATCAATAGAGTAAGGGAGCTTAGCGAGGGGATTTGAGCCACTAAGCTCTGTGATTCCTAGGCCATAGCAAACATATGTCACAGGCTAGTGCTACCTTTATTCTCTTCTGCATTCTGCTGAATCACCACTTCCCATGATAAGAAAGCACAAAAGACAAAATCTCCACCTACATAACAGGTTGATTAAGTATGTTTCCAAAAGATTCTTTACTTTCTAAAGCTTAGACTATTGAATCTCACACTAACAACGTGGATATTGAAAACACTTCAATATGAAAATTCAAGTCCACTCAGTTTTTCAGAGATCTATCCATTGGATAAAAAGAAGTATATGTTTTTGTCTCAAACTTCACAACAACACAATTTTTCAAGAGAATTAATGTTCTCTAAACAGAGCTAGGGATAGAAAATCCAACGGTGTGTTTCCATTCTCACTGTGATAGACCTACTTCTGTCCATTGTTGGAGCCACTGAGTTTCATTCTCAGGTTCCTGGCTATGCGCACTTCCTATGCAGGCTGGGACAGATAAGACACGACCAAAGTATCTCTTAGTATTATAATAACCAAATGCTCACACAAACAACAAACATAACTGAAACTAACACCTCATGAAACAATGCTTACCTTTTCTATGTAGAATGCCCTCTGATATTTTCTATTTTTTAATTTCATTTTTTAAAATTAGTGGATATCACGATCCACTTTAAGACTGTCATGCATATCTTAAAAAACACTAAGATAGGAAATAAAGTCAAAATTTTGATTTTGAATCCCAGGTCCACCACTTACTTTGGGCAAGTTACTCTGGAAACATCAGTATCCCAACTATAAAATGAGAGTAATAACAGAATCCATCTCAGGTGATTTTTGTAGGAATAAGTGAAGATAAACAGGTGAGAGAGTGTCCATTGCACGACAGGCAGTGAACAAATGTTAGTTCCATTCCATAAACTAAAGTTAATGCAGTAACATTAACTTTCCTAGATTATTAAACATACCAAGTACGGGTAAAATGTAGAATTCCAAAAAAGGTAAGGAATTATCACCCTGTGTTTGTGTAAACAATTAGGGTCTTTTGGGCTACAATGAAGTGAGTCTCAGTCCTAATTTTAGCTTTTGAACAAAGGCAGTATGACCCCCAGGAGGCTGAGGGCTGACTCTGCTTCCCTCTCCTCCCTGCCAGTGAAATCCTCTGGTTTCAGATCACCTCACAGGCTCCCAGGGCCCACACCTGGGTGGCTTCCTGCCCTGCCCTGCCCTGCCCTGCCCTGCCCTGCCCTGCCCTTTTTTAATCCCTAGTGTGGATTTCCACGTTCTTAGTGGAGTGTGACTGTGGACATGTCATTTAAGCTCTGTGACTTGGTTTCATGAGCTGAACCAATGGGCATAATAACCCTAGTTCATGGGACTGCCATGAGGGTGAAAGGTATAATGTATTCAAAGGGACTAGCACTGAGTCAGAATCATTAGGAGATTTTCAATAGATATTAGTTGTCTAATCCTTCCCCTCCCCGGAACACCCACACATACATCCTTACTATAGACTCTACCCTATCAGCCTGCCAAGTCAATCAGATCTTACCCAACAGGGACATGAGAATGGTTTGGAGCAATTGCAAGAGTTGGCTAGTGAGAGGTGAGAATTCAGGCCAGGAAGACATTCCAGGGACTTTTCCAACTCTGATTCAAAGAAGGCAGATACTCCTTCATCATTGTTGGTGCTTTTCCACCACACATCATAAAGTGAATTTTTCCTCCTGTGATTTCATTCATTCATTCATTCATTCATTCATTCACTCACTTGTGTTTAGAGCATCCAGGAGACGGCATCATGGCGGGGAAGCCCAAGCTTCACTACTTCAATGGACGAGGCCGAATGGAGTCCGTCCGATGGCTCCTGGCCACAGCTGGAGTCGAGGTCAGTTCTGAGTTCTGTCATCTCAAGTTGAATCTAAAATTGACTGTATCGAAGTATTTTGTCACTGGACAGGGACCAGCCTGGAGTGCATATGCCTCAGGCCAGCCTGTAGTGCATGGGTTCTTGATTCCTTATAGGAATCAATTTCACAGAATGAGTCCAGGTGACTCTGAGAGTACCTTTATTAAAGTTGGGGACAATGAAATGAAGGAAGGTATTAGGGTGGAAGAAGCAACAGGAGAGAGCCTAGGCAGTGCTCTGCTTTGGCTCCCTAGAACCCTCACAGGAAAGAAGTGAGCCAAGGCGGGGCTGTTGTTAGCTCACAGGGAAGTCAGAGCAAAGGGGCCTTGGAGACAGGATCAGGGGGTAAGCCTGCTGCTCCCCTGGTTGCAAGTCTCACAGGGATCCTTAGAGCTTAAGAGGAAGTAAAAATGTCATGCCTGACAAGGGGCATGGGCATGCTCTAGAGAGAGCTGCACTGGGTCTTTGCTGTGAGGGTTTTTTTAATCTTTTTTTTTTTTTCCTTCGAGGGGAGTGGGGGGAGAATCTTAGGGGAGGATTTCAGCAGAATACTCATCAGCTTTCCAGGTGCGTTTTTAATATGCTGATGCATCAAAATGAGCATATAGGGAGTTTAGGATTATTCTTTGGTCAGCCTTACTGTTTTACTTTTAACTTGGGTGTGTCTGGCTTTAATGGGGTTTTTGTTATTTGTTCCCTCACTTCATCCGTCCTTGCGTTTAGCTGGCACAAACCGCATTAATTGGGTCTCTGTCCTCTATCTCCCTGACCAGGGTGATTTAAGCTGTGTATTCTCTGGTTAAGAGGAGAGGTGTAAACCATTTGCTCTCAAGTATTCTTGGTTGGGGAAGGTAAGGTCTTGCAGTTCATTAGTTGGCTGTAAGTTGTTCAAATTGTTTGGCCTTGTTTAATTTTCTTGTCTCAGTTTCCCCATTCCATTTGCCCAGGAGTTTTTCTGCCACATTTTCTCACAAAGCTACAAGCTATTTTTTTAAGCTTGCCATGAGTATTGCATTAAAACAAAAACTGCCAGTTATTAAGAAATGAACAGATATGGCCTAATATATTATTAAAATTTCTTCTCATTAAGGAACATAAACAATTAAAATAGCTTCAAGAAACTAATCACAATGTGTGGGCTTATTTGGGTTTGAATTTAAACACACAGTATAATGTCATTTGTAATATTTATGCAACACTAAAAACATGAACATTGAATATTGGATGATATTACGGAATCATTGTTAATGTTTTGGGTGTGATAATATATTGTCATTATTTAAAAAATAATTCTTATATTTTAGAGGTACAGATTGAAGTATTTTAAAGGTGAAATATATGATATCTAGAGTTGGCTTCAAGTTATTATGAGAGTGGGAGAGTGGATGGGCATAAACAGGACACAGGGTTGAATTGAGATTATAATTATTGAAGCTGGGTGATGGGTACATGGAGGATCATTTTCTGTTTATTTTTATGCATGCTAAAAATTTCCATAATAAAAGGATAAAAATAAAATATTAGAAAATAAATGTAATTTAAGTTAAAGTATAAACCAGAAATTTGGGGAGAAGCAGACTGTAAGAAACTGCGGGTGTTACCGATTTAAATCACACACTCAGCAGTGAATTTGTTCAGCTTTAAGAGCCAGGTTTTGTGCTAGGTCCTGGGGATACACAGATGAACAAGACAGACAATGGTCCCTGCCCTCAGGAAGCTTACATTCTAGTCAGGATGCAGACAAGTAAACAGGTGATTAAAAGGAGGTGTCAATGAGAAAAACACCTCTTCAGTCCAGATCAGAGGGACTCAGCAACTCTGAGGGTTTTCCTGGGGAGGGAGTTATGGGTGAACTCAGGGATCTTGTCCCCCAGGTTAGGGCAGTAAAAGAGGGTTTCTGGTGAAGTAGCATTGTGTGACAGGGGCTTCTAGTGTGCTCCCAACTAGTGTTATCCCTCCATAACAACATAATTATTTAAGCCTTGGATTATACTTTCTTGATTGTTTCATGAATGCATAGGACTTTAGCTTCTCAATTTTATAACTAAAAAAGTACTCAAAAATTACAAGTAGTGCCATCCAGCCTGTTTTGTCTCTATAAATCCATAACCCAAAGTTTTCACTGTAGTCCCACTTCAGCTTTGGGGTTTGGGGATGTGTTCAGAGCCTGAGAGCAGGATGAGCTCAGCATAGGAGGGTGAGTAGGAGGGGATGCTGAGAGCACCCCAGGCTTCCTCTACTCTATCCCAGCTTCATTGAAGAGGGTGTGGAGCAAGGAATGTAAGTCAAGAACAGAGTAAATTTCCACAAATATTAGATTGCTTTAAAAAAAAGTTTTAAAATGATGGATGATGTTATGAAACAGCAGCCATCTTTAAACACCTAAGGACAACTTACATTTATGGAGCGCTTACTGTGTACCTGGTACTGTTCAAGGCCTTTGCACACCCAACTGATTTTATTCACATTGACCTATAACATAGGTATCAGATCTACATCTGTCATAGATGAGGACACTGAGGCACAGAGAGATTCAGGAATGTGCTCAAGTCAAGAGAGCAGTACACGGAAGAGGTGATATTCACATCCAGACAGTTATCTCAGAAACCAAAGTTTTGTGGGTTTTTTGTTTAAAATTTAAGAGCTTATTTGGGGGTTCTTTTTCCTTTCTACCCTAGTGTGTGTCATACTTTCCAAAAGAGAAAATTCTGAGTAGAAAGTGTTCAAGCTTTGCAGCAAACAGGACCCATTTCACCTTTCATGGGCCCCTATAATGTGGAGTGAGGACCCTGGGGTAGCATCTTAGAAAGTCATTGACTCATGGACATCCCATTTTGTCTCAAGTGGAGAGAAGAGCTTTCCTGAGATATTAAAACTCCATAGCTAGAGAACTTCCCAGTCCCTTCCCTCCAATAACATTCCCCTCCGAGTCATGACCTAATCATTGACATAAAGGCAGGTGGAGGTGAATGGAATCTCCAGGTTTGAGCGGTTAAGTGCTGCAACCCACGCTCTGTTCTTGAAGGCTCTAATCCCAGTTTCCAAATGGCATGATCCCACTCCTCTGTGTGCCCTGCCAAACTCAGAAATCTTAGCTCCTCCATATTCTGTACCAGACAGAGGTCATTCAAGGTTAAAAGTTCTACAATGCTATGGAATGAAGAACAAGAACTCCTTTACTGTCTTTGCTTTCCAGTTTGAAGAGCAATTTTTGCAAAGTCCAGAAGACTTGGAAAAGTTAAGAAAAGGTAGGACTAAGTATCTAATTTGCTCTCATGAGGGTGTCTATAAAGCTATAGTGAGGTTTGAACACCAGGCAACGCCTGCGTGTGTGTATGGTGGGAGCTGGGGTGGGGGTGGAGAGGAAGGAAAGAGGTTCCAGTGGACAGGGCGGGCTCCTTGAGCAGTCTTATCACTCACTCAGGGCTGGGAAGGGCTTGAACTCTGAGTGTGTGCCAAGGAACCATCCCGTGTCCTGGGGTGTCCCCTTTGCTTCCCCTGCCCCTCTGCACTGTGAGTGAGCCGTGTCCTTCAGGACCCCGCACAGCCTGCCTGTCCACAGACACTCAGGCACATGCATCAGGGGGACCAGAGTAGAAACAGGCCCAGCGGTTGCCTTCAGTCTTTTCTCCCACAGGTTTGACAAGGTAATATCCCAGCAGTATTACAGACTTAGATGAGAGAGGGTGTTGGATTGGTTGGAGGGCCAGGTGGCTGTATGAAGTGGGAGATTAAGAGAAAGAGCCAGCAGCACTGGAGTCCCAAAGGCAGGGCCTGCCACAAGCACTGAGAAGAGCGCACAAAACAGCCTACGTAGAAACCTCTCTTAGGATTCACCTTCCTGCCGTGAACTTACTGGGGAAACTTTCCACTTGAAATGGCATCTGGCTGGTGGTCCTTCGCAGTCTCGCTTCAACTTCTTCCTAAGATATCCACGAAGATAAATCAATAGAAAAAATACAGGCACCTACAGTGTGCCTGGATGGGAAGTAAGAAGATAAATGAAATAATAAGTTGAAAAAATGAAAGGCAGATTGGGAAGGAAAAGATTCCCAGGTGATGAAACCCAATGCTGTTTCCATTAAAATCTTACCAGGCAATAATTTTTTGTTTCCTTTCATGTCTTTAGTTATTTCAACAAACATGTTTTCATTCTACAAGACTGTGATCCACTAGACATTTCACTCTGCTTTTTCTTTTCTTCCTTAAAAAGATGGACATTTGATTTTCCAGCAAGTGCCAATGGTCGAAATTGATGGGATGAAGCTGGCACAGTCCAGAGCCATCCTCAACTACATTGCTGCCAAATACAACCTCTATGGGAAAGACATAAAGGAGAGAGCCCTGTAGGTATTTGTTCTGTTTTTCATCAACAATTAATAGGAACAACTTATATTCTTCTTTGAATGAGCAGGATTGTGTCGAGGGATCGTGACCAACAGCAGCATGGGCCTTGGAGCCACAGCCTGAGGTCCAGCCCAGCAGAGAACACGAGGAGGAGCGATTCCACTAGAAGTGGGGTCAAGCAAGTGGGATTATAGAAGGTTCAGTCCCTGGATGTAGCACAGGGAGTCACAGAGGTTTCCAAACACTGATGAACTGTGAAGCCAGGAGAATGGTAGAATCATGACTCCGGGGCCCAGGCCTTTAAAGAAAAGGCTGAGGAAGGAAGGATCCAAAGGAACTAATTTGCAAGTTCTAGAAATTACAAGAATAGTTACCAAGAACCTAATTTATCAGCCTGTTCTGTGGATTGGCCACTTGACAAGGGTTTGCAGAGGTTGGTGCCCAAGATGCAACTGTTACCTTGAGCATTTTGATATAGTACTGAAGCAGCCAGGTTTATTCAACACAACTCCATTAGGGAGGTGGGGTCTCTTCCTTGTTGTGATGAGACCACACCATTGAAACTAAAGTCTTGTAAGGAACTGTTGGCAGTTACTCAAACATTAAACACAGAGTTACCATATGTCAGCACCTCTACTACTAGGTATGTACCCAAGAAAATAAAAAGTACATCCACACTAAAATTTGTACAAAAATGTTCATAACAGCATGATTCGTAATATTCAAAAAGTGGAAACAACAAAAATGTCCATCAACTGATGAATGGATAAACAAAGTTTTGTATATCTATCACTGTAATATTATTTGGGCATGAAAAGGAATGGACATGGATAAACCTTGAAAACATTATGTTGAGTAAAAGAAATCAGACACTAAATGCTCATATTGTATGATGTCATTCAGATGAAATGTCCAGAGCATTTATATTTATAGAAACAGAAAGTAAGTTTGGTTTGGGGGTGAATTGGTTTGGGTTTGGTCCAGGGATTGGGGGTGGGGAATGTGGAATATTGGGATAGTACAGAGCTTTTCTGTTGGGGGTATGAAAATATTCTGAAATTACAGTGTAGTGATGGTACAGAAACTTGTGACTTCATGAAAAAAATCACAAAATTGTATATTTAAAAAGAATGACATTATGGTGTAAAATTTTTATCTTTTTTAAAAAGGGAATCTCCTATAGGAAGTCCAGTTAGGCACAATAGAAACATATCTTCTAGAATATGCATTGGTTGGAACTATATAAAGAATTGCACCAATTCCAGGGATGTTTTAGGTGAATTCTTGAGCAGTGATAACATGGCCAAAGTTTAGAAACAGTACATGGAGAGGGCTGTGAAACTGTGTTCTGTGGGAAATAATTAGAAGAACTGCTCATATTGGGCATATAAATGGGCCTGGATGGTGTAACAGGATGGAAGAGGGAGAGAGACATGACTGAGGTGGTTGTGCTAGTGACTCTCTGTAGAATATTCAGGTGGCAAGTCTTTAGCCTTATGGATCACACTGAGTTTGTTCCCAGAACCAACCACAGCAGAGATGGCAAACCCTCAGTGGCTACTTGCAGGGATTCCACCAATTTCTCTATGCTTGTGTCTCTGGACACCTCACTGATGATCTCTGTCATGTGTATAACACAAATTTTAGACATATATCTCTACCTTGATATGAAATGTTAAAATTAAGTGAAAATCATAGCTGAAGGACTGGCATATAAAAATGCACCCAATAGAGGTGAATTTCTTTGCCACCACCTGATGGCCCATTCTCTTAAATTTTTAAACTATAACATGTAAGGTAGGCGACATTTGACAATTGGGTCTTTGTTTTTTTAAATTTATCTTTATTACAAGTATCCCATTTTTCCCCCCAGTGATCCACTCCACCCTGCTTCCGCTCCCTCTCCAGGCCTTCACCCCATTACAGTCTATGTCCATGGCTTATGCATATGTGCATATAAGTCCTTTGGTTAATCTCTTCCCACCCCTACTCCCCCTTCTCTGAAAAATGACCTTCTGTGGCCATGCATCAATGTCTCTGGATCTATTTAGTGTGTCAGATTCTTTTGTTCATTAGCTTCTTAAAGAAGACCCTTCAACATTTCCTGTAGTGCTGGTCTGGTGGTGATGAACTCCTTTAGCTTTTCCTCACCTGTGAAGCTCTTTATCTGACCTTCAATTCTAAATGATAGCTTTGCTGGGCAGAATCATCTTGCTTGTAGGTTCTTGCTTTTCATCACTTTGACTATTTCTTGCCACTCTGTTCTGGCCAGCAAAGGTTCTGTTTTTGTCTTTCAGAATTGATATGTATTCGGAAGGTATGATGGATTTGAATGAAATGATCATGCATCTCCCACTCTGCCCACCTGATCAAAAAGATGCCAAGTTGACCGAGATCAAAGAGAAAACAACAAATCGATATTTCCCTGCCTTTGAAAAAGTAAGTGGGCTACTCAACTTTTGGGGCACTGAGATTTGAGGACAGAGAGAACTGGTGCCAGGGCCGTCCCGGGGCATTGACCTTCCCTTCCAGTGAGCCCTCCTGAATGCTGATGGAGCTCCCTGACTCTCTAGGTCTGTCATCAGGTCAACTGTGGGGTGGATATGCACCTGCTGTACCCAAGTTATAATCTCTCAGCAACATTTCAGTTCACCAGGACCCAGTTTAGAGCTCCCTATTTGATGGCTTCCTGTCATAGTTAGACTGTGGACTGTGGAAGGCTCTGGGAGCCACGCTACCGATTGGAGTAGATCCTGCAGAACACTGTGCAGGGGTTTCTCATGCAAGATGACACGATGGAAGCAATTCGTCAGTAAATATTCTGGCAACATGCATAGGAGACATGAGACCAACTGCCCAACAGGAGAAGACAGTAGTGTTTCGAGGATGGATGAGATGGATGTAAACAGAGATGGGGGTAGTGGATGGAGAGGAAGAGAGAGATGAAAAGATGTTAAGGAACAATCTTCAAAATGTTCGGTTGTCAGACTTTTGAAAAAAGTTATCCTAAATTCAAGAAAGAAAGTCCCATCGTTAAGTATGTAGCACATGTCACAATTTTTCCCTTTGAAGGTAAGAGAAGAACATTTTAAAACTCAAACTTCCTGAAATCAAATAAAATAAAAATTATGGACCAAAATAGTGACTGTAAGGGACACAGGAGGCATACAAAGAAAAAAGGTTTAATGCTGACACCCTCATCTTTATAAAACATTAAAAAATATTTATGAATCATTCTTTCATTCATCCCACAAATTTTAATTCATTGCTTGTGTGTTCATACATATTCAAAGAGTAAAGAATTTCATACCAACCTGAAAGTACACCCTCCTGGGCCTTGTGGCCGTGAGAGTTTAGGGGACGTTCACGCAAGGACAAGTCATCAGGCACAGCAGTTTGGGTATCCCAATACTTTGAAATGCAAGAGCTCCATGATAACATCAATAAAAATGTATCTTACAAAATAGGATTTGATCTTACCAAATAATTATCCATTCTTTTAAATTCGTATATGATCTGAAAGTGTATTTGCCAAAATGTTAATATCTTTAGTCGATGGTGCTATGTGTGTTTAGTCTCTTTATGCTTTATGATTTCCATAATGCTGGAATATTTTAATAAATATCACATATTTCTCCAAGCGTTTATTATGAAAAATTTCATGCATTCAGGAAAGTTTAAATAAGAGTACAATGAACACACAGGCACCCACCATGAGGATACAAATATTAACCTTTCATTATGTTCGCTTTATCATGAGTTTCTCTCTCTCAATCCCTCTCTCTATCAATCAAACATACTATTTTTGTATATAATACAAAGTGAGTTTTAGGCATCACTACAGTTCATGGCTAGAAGTTTCTGCAGCAGATCATAACATAGTACAAGTCAGGAGTCAGAGCCCATGTTGCAAGGGAGATGGTGAGTTAAGTTGACCCAGGTTCGCATAAGGTCCCAAAGACATAGACCAGGAAGTGAGGGGAGTAGACAGAGGAGAAATGTAGACTCTGAAATAGTCTGCTCAGGGCTGCAGAAGGATGTCATGGAGATGGATATTGGCCCAAGTGAGAGAGGAGAGGGGGGGGGTGGGGGCATGTGCTAAAGTCCAGGACAGCCGCTGTAGGGCATGGGGCCAACAGAAACACGGTGCAGCCAGTGCCAACCCTGGGCCAGTGGAAGATGCACAGGGGGAGCCCCAGTGATACGGAACTGGAAAAGGAAAGGGGAGCCTGGGCTTCAGCCAGGGGTGAGGAAAGGACTGCAGAGACCCGCTTCTCCCCCTCTCACTGAGTCGGGGCGGTGAATGTGCCCTGATGCTCCGCACCTGCCTTTGAGGCAGCAGAGGTGGGAAGCCGGCTGGAGAGACCGGGGCAGGAGCAGGGGGACCCAGCCTGCGTTACCCGTGTTCATAATCTGCTCCCTGCAATTTCCCAGGTGTTGAAGAGCCATGGACAAGACTACCTGGTTGGCAACAGGCTGAGCAAGGCGGACATTCAAGTGGTTGAACTTATCTACTATGTTGAAGAGATTGACCCCAGCCTTCTGGCCAGCTTCCCCCTGCTGAAGGTGACTCTTTCAGGGCCCTCGGGTGGGGAGGCCCCCATCTCCCATCTTGGAATCTAATATCTGGACGCTCGCACTGGTGATGTTATGATCCCATCACTGTTCAGGTCCTGCTGCCCCCGGGTCTCCAAAATTTGCTCATAGGCCCTGGTCAGAGGCAGAAACAATCTTGTTTTGTTTTATTTTTAAATATATTTTTATCTATTGCAGAGAGAGGAAGGGAGAGAGCGCTAGAAACATCAATGGTGAGAGAGAGTCACTGATCAGCTGCCTCCCCCGCGCCCCTCACTGGGGATGGAGCCCACACCCGGGCATGTGCCCTGACCGGAAATGGAACAGGGATCTCCTGGATCAAAGGTTGATGCTCAACCACTGAGCCATGCTGGCCGAGCAGGAAAGAATCTGGTTTTGTCAAGGAAACTGGAGGCGGCTGCTCCCCCAAGGAGAGCAGCTCATCTTGCACAGTGAGGGGGACCCGGGTCTTGGCATCTCTGGCTCAGCCCCTGTGCCATTCAGTGTCTGTCCTGATTTCTGTCCTGGGATCCCCTTGCTCGCGCGTGTCCCTGTGTCTGGTTCCTGATCTGGGTGAGCGGTTTCCTCCCTCTGATTCCGGCCCTCAGCCCTGCTCCTCTCAGACAGTGTTTCTCCCTCACAGCCCCTCTCGTCTCTCTGAGGGCACATTGGTCCTGGCTGTCCCCAGGCTCCCCCTGTGCTCTCTGCTCTCAGCTCCAGCCGGGTCCCTTACCCCATTTCCCACGGGGAGCCTCTGCCTGCGCTGCCCTGACAGGCGCAGGAGTCGCCTTGTCTGCAGGGCGCTGCCTGTGGGGGTTTGCGGGGGGCAGGAGGCAGGGCGGGCTGAGCTGGGCAGGGGCTCCCCCGCCTCTGGGGGGTGCTGCTGAGCTGGGCTCTGTCCCCTTATCTTCCTGTCCCGCTAGACACCTGTTTCCCAGCCTGGTGCTGGGGCTGATGGAGGGGCCCCCACTGCTCCTGGTCTGGGAGGGCCTCAGGCTCGCTGGCCCGTGGGGTGAAGGGGGGTGTTTGTCTTCACCCTGAGGCTCTGCTCTGTGCCTCGCAGGCCCTGAAGACCAGAATCAGCAACCTTCCGACCGTGAAGAAGTTTCTGCAGCCCGGCAGTCAGAGGAAGCCTCCCATAGATGCGAAAAAGTTAGAAGAAGCCAGGAAGATTTTCAAGTTTTAAACGAAGCAGGCATGGCCGCCCAGCACGTGCAGGACCAAGCTCCTGCAGTTTTCCAACAATGAAATGCTTCACCTAAATTTAGACCTTGGCTCTTGTGAGAATAATAAGCTTTTCTCAATTAATTAAATAATAAACTCCCATGAGCAGATTTAATTATAATTTACCCTTGTTCCTTAAGATCCAATACAAAATCAGATTTTCAATCTCCTTTTATTGTGTCTCTCTTGGAATTAAAAATTAAATAAAATTAAATAGATTATGAGGTCTCTTTCTTTTTTCCAGGAATTGTCATATGTCTGTCACAGAGCTCATCAAAGAGTCAAGTGTAGAATTCATGCCTGACATTCTCAGGTGTTCACAGGAAAATTTCTACCTTTCTCGGTAAGGACATAGAGAATTTTTTTTTTTTGTTTTCTTCAGGAGCCCTTTGCCTTCTGATAATAGAAATGTTTTTTGTTATGAGTTTTGCTCCTGTGCAATGCAATGGCTACATGCCTACTATGGACTCTTTACCATTCTAGGAGTTGGGGAAATAATGAACCAGGGAACAGACCTGCTCTCCCCTGACTGTTCTCCCTCACGGTCTGTGACCACCTGCACAGCATCGCTCTGCTGCTTAATGCTCTGTGGGGCCCTGGCTGAGCTTTCCCTTGGTTCATTCAGTGGTGCTCAGACCTGGACTTCCAAGACAGAGCTTACATGGATAAATTATATGTAAGTGAGTATATATAAAATCATTTTTCTCTGCCTGTCACTGGGCCAGGGTGGCTGTATTAGGAGTGATTTCTAGCTTCAGCCACACTCGGGGCTCAAAACGAACACCCTCCCTGAAAACCTGGGCTTTGGCATATGGAGTTCTTGGGCCCTAGAGTGAGCTTCCCCATAGTGGGGGGAGGGAGCTGAGGGACACACAGGGCTCCCCGACTGTAGCTTCACTCCCATCTAGGCTGCTGTCTACATGCAACCAGAATGCTTCCCCTAAAATGCACATTTGAGTATCACGACTTTCTTTAAGTCCTTCGGTGACTCCCATGCCTGTGAGGATGCCTCCTCACACCCCTCCTTTCCACCTGGCCATGCTGAACGCCTCACCTCAGTTGCTTCCCGGGGAGAGTTGGGCTCTCGTCTGTGCCTCCCACAGAGCCCTGTGACCCCCTAACAAAGCCGAATGCCACTGTGCCTCCTCCACTCTGCTGTGAGGACCTGGTGAGCGGGCATGGCCCGGCCGTGTCCCCACTGCTCCATCACAAATGGTGGTAACACCTTGCGCAACGCCACGCACACCGTGAGGACCTGAGGCTTTGAGTGGGGGNACCAGAGTAGAAACAGGCCCAGCGGTTGCCTTCAGTCTTTTCTCCCACAGGTTTGACAAGGTAATATCCCAGCAGTATTACAGACTTAGATGAGAGAGGGTGTTGGATTGGTTGGAGGGCCAGGTGGCTGTATGAAGTGGGAGATTAAGAGAAAGAGCCAGCAGCACTGGAGTCCCAAAGGCAGGGCCTGCCACAAGCACTGAGAAGAGCGCACAAAACAGCCTACGTAGAAACCTCTCTTAGGATTCACCTTCCTGCCGTGAACTTACTGGGGAAACTTTCCACTTGAAATGGCATCTGGCTGGTGGTCCTTCGCAGTCTCGCTTCAACTTCTTCCTAAGATATCCACGAAGATAAATCAATAGAAAAAATACAGGCACCTACAGTGTGCCTGGATGGGAAGTAAGAAGATAAATGAAATAATAAGTTGAAAAAATGAAAGGCAGATTGGGAAGGAAAAGATTCCCAGGTGATGAAACCCAATGCTGTTTCCATTAAAATCTTACCAGGCAATAATTTTTTGTTTCCTTTCATGTCTTTAGTTATTTCAACAAACATGTTTTCATTCTACAAGACTGTGATCCACTAGACATTTCACTCTGCTTTTTCTTTTCTTCCTTAAAAAGATGGACATTTGATTTTCCAGCAAGTGCCAATGGTCGAAATTGATGGGATGAAGCTGGCACAGTCCAGAGCCATCCTCAACTACATTGCTGCCAAATACAACCTCTATGGGAAAGACATAAAGGAGAGAGCCCTGTAGGTATTTGTTCTGTTTTTCATCAACAATTAATAGGAACAACTTATATTCTTCTTTGAATGAGCAGGATTGTGTCGAGGGATCGTGACCAACAGCAGCATGGGCCTTGGAGCCACAGCCTGAGGTCCAGCCCAGCAGAGAACACGAGGAGGAGCGATTCCACTAGAAGTGGGGTCAAGCAAGTGGGATTATAGAAGGTTCAGTCCCTGGATGTAGCACAGGGAGTCACAGAGGTTTCCAAACACTGATGAACTGTGAAGCCAGGAGAATGGTAGAATCATGACTCCGGGGCCCAGGCCTTTAAAGAAAAGGCTGAGGAAGGAAGGATCCAAAGGAACTAATTTGCAAGTTCTAGAAATTACAAGAATAGTTACCAAGAACCTAATTTATCAGCCTGTTCTGTGGATTGGCCACTTGACAAGGGTTTGCAGAGGTTGGTGCCCAAGATGCAACTGTTACCTTGAGCATTTTGATATAGTACTGAAGCAGCCAGGTTTATTCAACACAACTCCATTAGGGAGGTGGGGTCTCTTCCTTGTTGTGATGAGACCACACCATTGAAACTAAAGTCTTGTAAGGAACTGTTGGCAGTTACTCAAACATTAAACACAGAGTTACCATATGTCAGCACCTCTACTACTAGGTATGTACCCAAGAAAATAAAAAGTACATCCACACTAAAATTTGTACAAAAATGTTCATAACAGCATGATTCGTAATATTCAAAAAGTGGAAACAACAAAAATGTCCATCAACTGATGAATGGATAAACAAAGTTTTGTATATCTATCACTGTAATATTATTTGGGCATGAAAAGGAATGGACATGGATAAACCTTGAAAACATTATGTTGAGTAAAAGAAATCAGACACTAAATGCTCATATTGTATGATGTCATTCAGATGAAATGTCCAGAGCATTTATATTTATAGAAACAGAAAGTAAGTTTGGTTTGGGGGTGAATTGGTTTGGGTTTGGTCCAGGGATTGGGGGTGGGGAATGTGGAATATTGGGATAGTACAGAGCTTTTCTGTTGGGGGTATGAAAATATTCTGAAATTAGAGTGTAGTGATGGTACAGAAACTTGTGACTTCATGAAAAAAATCACAAAATTGTATATTTAAAAAGAATGACATTATGGTGTAAAATTTTTATCTTTTTTAAAAAGGGAATCTCCTATAGGAAGTCCAGTTAGGCACAATAGAAACATATCTTCTAGAATATGCATTGGTTGGAACTATATAAAGAATTGCACCAATTCCAGGGATGTTTTAGGTGAATTCTTGAGCAGTGATAACATGGCCAAAGTTTAGAAACAGTACATGGAGAGGGCTGTGAAACTGTGTTCTGTGGGAAATAATTAGAAGAACTGCTCATATTGGGCATATAAATGGGCCTGGATGGTGTAACAGGATGGAAGAGGGAGAGAGACATGACTGAGGTGGTTGTGCTAGTGACTCTCTGTAGAATATTCAGGTGGCAAGTCTTTAGCCTTATGGATCACACTGAGTTTGTTCCCAGAACCAACCACAGCAGAGATGGCAAACCCTCAGTGGCTACTTGCAGGGATTCCACCAATTTCTCTATGCTTGTGTCTCTGGACACCTCACTGATGATCTCTGTCATGTGTATAACACAAATTTTAGACATATATCTCTACCTTGATATGAAATGTTAAAATTAAGTGAAAATCATAGCTGAAGGACTGGCATATAAAAATGCACCCAATAGAGGTGAATTTCTTTGCCACCACCTGATGGCCCATTCTCTTAAATTTTTAAACTATAACATGTAAGGTAGGCGACATTTGACAATTGGGTCTTTGTTTTTTTAAATTTATCTTTATTACAAGTATCCCATTTTTCCCCCCAGTGATCCACTCCACCCTGCTTCCGCTCCCTCTCCAGGCCTTCACCCCATTACAGTCTATGTCCATGGCTTATGCATATGTGCATATAAGTCCTTTGGTTAATCTCTTCCCACCCCTACTCCCCCTTCTCTGAAAAATGACCTTCTGTGGCCATGCATCAATGTCTCTGGATCTATTTAGTGTGTCAGATTCTTTTGTTCATTAGCTTCTTAAAGAAGACCCTTCAACATTTCCTGTAGTGCTGGTCTGGTGGTGATGAACTCCTTTAGCTTTTCCTCACCTGTGAAGCTCTTTATCTGACCTTCAATTCTAAATGATAGCTTTGCTGGGCAGAATCATCTTGCTTGTAGGTTCTTGCTTTTCATCACTTTGACTATTTCTTGCCACTCTGTTCTGGCCAGCAAAGGTTCTGTTTTTGTCTTTCAGAATTGATATGTATTCGGAAGGTATGATGGATTTGAATGAAATGATCATGCATCTCCCACTCTGCCCACCTGATCAAAAAGATGCCAAGTTGACCGAGATCAAAGAGAAAACAACAAATCGATATTTCCCTGCCTTTGAAAAAGTAAGTGGGCTACTCAACTTTTGGGGCACTGAGATTTGAGGACAGAGAGAACTGGTGCCAGGGCCGTCCCGGGGCATTGACCTTCCCTTCCAGTGAGCCCTCCTGAATGCTGATGGAGCTCCCTGACTCTCTAGGTCTGTCATCAGGTCAACTGTGGGGTGGATATGCACCTGCTGTACCCAAGTTATAATCTCTCAGCAACATTTCAGTTCACCAGGACCCAGTTTAGAGCTCCCTATTTGATGGCTTCCTGTCATAGTTAGACTGTGGACTGTGGAAGGCTCTGGGAGCCACGCTACCGATTGGAGTAGATCCTGCAGAACACTGTGCAGGGGTTTCTCATGCAAGATGACACGATGGAAGCAATTCGTCAGTAAATATTCTGGCAACATGCATAGGAGACATGAGACCAACTGCCCAACAGGAGAAGACAGTAGTGTTTCGAGGATGGATGAGATGGATGTAAACAGAGATGGGGGTAGTGGATG